GAGAATGATATAGTTGGTTCCGAATCGTTTTAGAGTTGTTCACTAGGCAACTGAAAACAACACAGTTCCCTGCCCTGTAGGACGAGTATCGCCTATCAGCCTTCGTTTTCTAAGCTAGTAGGCTCGACAGGGGCCTTTGACAGTCATTTAGAAATACAATCATTAGGCGAGCTGCATCAGAAATCCGATAAAAATCACCGTATCGGGAAGCGTCATCTTTATACTCGTCTAATGTCTAAATTCGTGTGCTTGTCAAAGAGGTGTAATGTTCTGTAAACCGATAAATGTAGAAACCAGAATTCAGCTATCATAGGACGACGTCATTGATTTAGGTACGAATTTCATCATGTCAGAATCGAAAAGCAAACAACAATTTCTGCCAGTAACGATAAACAGTATATACAAAAAAGAGATGGCAAATTCAATCGTTGAGGATACACTTGTCACTAGACGGTAGGTACGATGACGCATCGTCGTGGCAAGGTAATGCTTAAGTAGGTCTACTGACACGTTTTCTATATCCTACGAATGCACAACTATAAAGATGTATTGGCTTAAGCAGTCATTAAGGGTCATTCAATTGAACGACTAAATAGGCGCATTAAACCTAGAGGCAGACTAAACACATTTGGACAGACTCAGAATAGAGAAACTCTAACCGATACCTAATCGGCTTACGGGTACTCTATTTACGAATCAGTTACTTAAATAGAGTAGCAATATGTTATGGTTTCTCGTGTCTAGAACAAGACACAAAAACCCTCCAGTAACGTTGTGCCTTGCGCTCGTTCTATTATATCGTTATCGTCGTGCCATTATAAGTTAAGTCACTTCTTAGTTATTGTTTACGTCTATATGGTCATATTAATCTTTTTTCTAATTATTAACAAAAGGTCTAAGTGTATCTCGTATTTGGGTGAGAATCTTGGCTTTGAGGTGACTGCTTCACGTGCATGCTATGTAGTACTATAAGTATGTGAACGACAGCGAGAAGCGTGTCTGTTCATCAGCGGAAATAGCGGGCTGATGACAGTGAGAGACTCTGGCCACACAATAGAATGAAATTTATTGTTCAAGAAAGCCAGACGTTAGAAACGCTGGAGCGATACTTTATGAAGATAACCCTTGCTTGTTTTTCCAAACAAACAAGAGAACTACGTATGATATTAACGGTTTCCTGCCCCATACCAACTAACCTTATTGCGAACGCCACAGAATATCGGAAGCCTACGGCACGTCAGGCAGTACCCGTTGCTTTTAGTCTATCAGCAATGGGGAAGATAGGAAAGAGCCGATGAGATCGCCGACTTGAGTATGCACCAATCGTAGCGACACTCTGATAAAATGAGGTCATCGGAGACGAAATAAAAGTGTATAGGTATTTGAGTGATAACCACGTTACTTCGGCTAATTTTTTAGCTGTGAAAGATAACCATCCTTATAATGGTGCAATGGTGTGCAGATAAGGTGCTTACCGATAAAATGTAGGAGTACCAAATTAAGCAATCCAGGTAAAGCTCAGTTTTTTCTGCGTTGAATATTGACTAAAAAATTTCTATACAACTTGAAATCTTCATGTTGTTTTTTTCCAACTATCTTGCGCTATATTTACGTTACGCTATTATTACGATGCGTTATATTTACGGCTGACTTGTAACAGCACTTGTACACCCGGGAACCAAGACCATTTCATCTGATGCCCTCAAGTTTAGCAGATAAATACGTTAGTACTGCACCATTCATGGGGACAGTATCAGGCAGCCTACTGAATGGTAACATTTTCTTTTTCGGTGTTTTGTCGTTGGGTAAGACTTAATGTGGCGTTGACTCGTGGGAAGACGTCACCCAACCCAATTAGGCTACACGACAATGAATGAGCGTTTGTACTGGCCTAGATCTTATTGGGCGTTCTCTCTTCTTTCTGAGATAATTAATTGGAGCACAATAAAAAATCGACCGTTTTTTTATTCTTCTGCCGTCATCGCTTCGCCTTCTCGGGCGATGAGTTTATTGAGCATCAGCAGATGCCCGGTTTGAATGTTTACAATATGCGCCTAACACATTAATAATAAATATATGACAATTTTTTTCATTGCCATCCAGCTTTTATAACCGGTTAGAAATCTAGGAGTCCTCTACTGGAGTAATAATGAATGTGGAAGGATCTAGAGCGAGAAATGTGGGTATATTTACTTCACCCCGAAAGTAATTATAATCCTAATTACTTTAACTTAAAGTGGCAAGCTCGTGATTCTAAACTGGAACAATTGATCATTATGTGAGCTTCGTTAGTCTTCGGAGTAGTTCGTCAGAGATGGATAGACTCTATTCAGGTTACGTGGAAATTCCGAGTTTGTTTTTGAGGTACGTGTCGTCGTACATTGTTTGTCCAGACACGGTCGGGTACGAGCAACATACTCGGTCCGAATCTGTACAGCAGTTCTGATTAAGCAGTTCTCTGCAGATCAACGTATCTCTTCCCAAGTTATATCTGAGGCTGTGTTTGCGCCCTATGACGCAGCAAGCAATAGATTCGCTGTAAATATTCACTCTCCCCCGTCTTCCTTCTAAGTCAATTTTTCTAGCTTGGAAAAAGCTTTCCTTTGTCCAGATACGTTAATTTAACTATTTTTTAGAGTATTTTTCACGCTTGAGCTACACATATTTGAAAAGACGCAATACATAACTGTAATTCAGTTCAACACTTGCATGAGTAGAGGCTTTGTTACACTAATCGGAATATGGGTTTGATTTCAATATATAAATTTGATTTTTTTTGGTTGCTCAGACTACCTCCGCGTAAGAGAATGAATAAACGGCCCATTGGGTAAATTTCTTCGACAAATGATGAGATTTTAATTATATTACAATAATACTGTCAACCGTATGTCACTATACTAACCCATGTCGTAATACTTTATGATGTACTAACAACATTCGTTTATTGTAGGTAATATTATCTGTAACTAATTTTGCAAGATATTACTTTGTATTCTAAGTGTTTGTACTTATTATAGTATGTACCGTATATATTAATTCCTCAGGTAAATTTTTACGAAAAGCGTGACCACTCCGCGTTGATTTTTCAGATGGGCACATTGCCACAAGCTTTTTGCGCATAGATTCAAATTCGTAGTGGACTGGTCTCGTTTTATAGAGTAGATTCTATGTAAAATACTTGTTTGTGTCATAATATATTAGAATCCTACACTTTGTCCACTTTTGCAAACCTATGGCCAAATGGATCTTGTTTGATGGTAGATGTTTTCAAATAATTAACTTGCTCAAAGAGTACAGAGAAGATACATCGAATGCAGCAAAAACGTTAAGTTACATTCTGTAGTCATATAATGTCAACTTCTTTCGATATACTAGAAATACAATGTCAAGACAAAGTGTTCCTTCGTTGGCAACCTCCAGTCATAGGCTGAAATACTGCATCGATCGGTTTATATCTCTTTGCGCTAAAACGCACGGGATCTTTTGGTTAAATTTTATTTGAAATAAAATAGAGTCGTATATTATTTCAGTGAAAACAACACAATTTGGGCCAAAAAAACCTTGCCGAACGTTTAGTAAGCTTTATTAAAAAAAAAAAAATATATATATATATATATATATATATATATATATATAGTAAGAAATTCACAAATTTAACGTTCAGCATTGTATGCACAACGTGACAAAAACATGAGTCGGCTGTTACTAATCTCCTTTTTAATAGATACCATATACATACAAATAACTTTTTTGCTATAAGAAAAGTATGAAATAATAAAGACTGAAAATTTTACACGATTATAGCCTTAGAAGGAGCATCTCTATGTAGCAAGCGTAGGATAGGCCGGTCTAAGTCTACCAACATATATATATATATATACGGCAAGTGTCAATGAAATAGGATGTGATGCTTTTATTATTATCGAACTAATGAAGTCTCCGCCGATACAAGAGTAACGCTAAGGAAGCGGCTGCGGGAAACTGGCGCTAGATGTTTCTTTATTGGTTTTCTACATGAGGCCCAACCAAAGTAGTTCGTCCTTAACGAAATTGAATGCTGAAGCACTACACCGAGTACTTGTCGGACCAAGTCACGAACGCTGTGGCATGTCACGCACAATAAATTGTTCAGGCCAGATCATGGGAATTGCTTGTATGTGTAAGGTACTTGCATGCTACATTTGCTCCGCTGCAAAATTCAGTAGGTCCTAATTTCGACCTGGCTAATAGCCACGTCCTCAGCTCAGTTTGGCTGTTTCGTTGTTTCACGTGAGAACGTACAACAAGTACGATTACAGCCGTGACCCTCATCATCAATAACATCAACATTACAAACTTTTAAAATACGTCTCAAACTGTTTGTCGTCGCCTTTCGTGTTTCGATTTTCATAGACTCATTTGTGTACAATTCATTGTATTTCCCCGTACGCTGTCCAGTTAACATTCGGTGGCATTTCAATAAACTGAGATTATTACGGCCCTCAGTGAGAGCGCTTTTGTCGGACGTTGCTAAATGTGTAAAATAGCAAATCAATAAAATAGGAATCACTGCATGATGGGTGTTGTATACTGTTTTATGAATTTTTTTCTACAAAGAAGAAAAATCTGTCTAGCAACTTTTCCAATTTAGCAATTAGCGCCAAAAATGTGAAAATGTTCTTTAAGGTTTATGATAGTGTGTAATATTATATGTAATAATAATTTTTTTTTTTATTACAATACAAATATGTTGTTTTTCAAAGTAGATTATCTAAGGTAGTAAGGTATGACAGTAACAATAATATCTGAACAAAACTGACAATACGATTTTGGCATTTTTTTGCCTACATAACAAGTGACAGTGTGTGCTTACACACGATGTCATTATTAAAGCGCCGCAACGGTTGCTTCGTCTCGGTACAACGGTTGCGCGTGACCATTGACGATACTGGCAGCACAAGCAGAAGTCGTTTGGCGCTTCGCGCGTGTGATACTCTCAACGGACAGCAAACGCTCAACGGTTTTTTCTGGTCACAGATAGGGCGGCAGTAGACAACAGCTTCGCCATTCCTTCGCCCAGCGAAAGAGGACTCCTGCGGAAATCAAAGCCAACAACTCCTGTGTTCGATAACTTCACAAACTTGGCGTGCTATGTCTAGAGAGAGCATATACTCTGCTTCGTTTAGCGCCAGTGATATCATAGAGGCATATTATTTGCAAGAGTTTGTTGATTCTCTCGAACAGTGGTACCCGTCGACTCTGTGCAAAACGTAGACGATTCCATTTTCGCCGTTTGAACAAAACAAAACAACAAACGCAGAAAACTGTGTTGACTTTTATGAAAGCGATTCTCTGCGTCAGAGAGAACCTACCAGGGCACACTTTTACGCATTGCGTCCAGTACGTAGATTGTTAATTCGCAATTCGTTCTCGTCAGCCGGCTGAGTGAGGGCGGTTGATCGGTGAGCTGATTCTATTTTCGTGGAAAAGGTCCAGTGTACATTTCTCAAGCGATGGGTGGGACATCATACTTGGAAACCTACAGTGCTACCACTAGCTAACATATAGGGACGAACATCGGCTCCTACTGAATGTACGACCTATCGCTTTTATGATAAAGAACTATTTGTTTGTGGTTTACTCCGCTGTGGAATGAATCTAAGCCATTGTTTCGTAAGCGTAGCCCTGAGTGAGATGGCTAACAAAGATCCGTTTGAGACACTAAGTCACTTTAGATTTTATTAGGCCAAGACACGACCTACTATCTTGACCATTCAACGGGACAGCGCCGTCAACGGTCGTCCTGAGTAGGTGACAGAAAGCGACGTGACGGTTTACTATCTGTAGAACGAACGGTGCGGACAAAACGTAATATATTCTTTGATAGAACAAAATAGCGAGTTTCTGAAAGGACTTACCCTGAGGCAAGATGTGAACTGAGCTTTCGGATACTGTGACAGGGAGTGATTAATGCAGAATATGCGTAGCTAGCGTTACCACGTAAAGTCTGAACGTACTTGATCAGAAAGGGCTAGAAGAAAAACGCCAGGCTGAAACTGCGATACGTAAATATAGCTAGTGGACTGTTACTATTTGCTCCCTTGGATTGCGTTACACGGTAGAAAGAGAATGTTCAAGTTTCGACAGTCGCGGAAGCGCAAGTTCATGTTCGATGATAACGGTGGGTTACATATGATTTTTTATACGGCTTTTAGTTCAGGCGCTCGCATACGCACAAACGCAGAGAAGTAATAATTATGGTCATGCAAAGATATTACTGAGAAGATAATCGGGTTCGGCAGGAACTCGAAACACAACTATATTTGTTACAAGAAACTGAACAAGAAAAAGTTACAGCTGGCCATTTTGTTGCGGTGTATTTCTTTACTCCGATAATCTGCTAGAGCGATATAGTTCTGTCGCGTACGCTCTCCTAAGTCTATCACGATAAGACCTCATGTAACTTCCGTAACGACAACGAATTCGACCAATTTATTTTTGCCCTGTTTTTATATCCTGTGTGTGAGCTCATCATGGCGAGTAACAAAAACAACCTCGTCACAAAGAAAAGTATATAACTGCTACGCTCTTATTGCAATTGTTTTACTAATGTTCACAAGACGCCGGTACCGATTTGGCCATATCCTACTGAGTCAGTACTGCTACTGATTGGGCACAAGATAGTTCAAAGATATCATTTAGTCAATAGTAAGTCAGTACTTTACCATTATACTATCAACTAATGGTCTCAATTACTATTATTCCGCTATATGAAATTATAAACGATACGTAATAGCAACGGGTTCAGCTGCAAAATCTAGAGGTATCCAAGCTGAATTAGTCTCGTTTTACCCACCGCTATTGTTTACTACTTTATCGATTTTGATCTTGCTCTTATTGTTCGATTCGAACGGATTCCAGGTACTATCAGTTGGGGAATGGGGGGCTTTTGTTCGATTTTTCGATCACAACCCGCAAAGCTTGACGTCCGTTTCGTTCGAAACACACTCTCACCGTAGCGGCCTTTCTGTGTCAAACTTCTCTTTATACATATATACAAAAGGCTCTCGCCGTAACAGTTTCAGAGCACTCCGAAAGTTCGACAACGTAAAGCCTCTCGTTGGCCATAGATCCTCTAGTATTTTCCTTGTTGCAGTTCATTCTCCGTGAAGAGTGGCAGGAGGCACGGGCAGGCAATTGAAATAACCGCAATATTCTGCTACCTTGAATGTAGATTCGGTGTTATCGCATGTGGAAGAGCAACGGCGGTTAATGTTGCGGAGGTGTGTCTCCTGTCCGTTGTTTTCTCTGATTTTTCAAATGTTCTTTTTTCGGCCGATGATAGCAGAACCTCCGTTGAAGGTCAAATTGTGTCTCACTGAGACGACGTATTTCGGCCACGTACTCATGTTTGCAGGTGCTCATTGTACAATACTGATGCGTAATCAGTAGCATTGCAATAATCTTCAATTACACAGCAGAAATTGGCACTTACGGTTACCCTTGGCGCAATGCACTCACAAAGCTGCTGAGATCGAGGGTGTTCCAGTTCCCATAAAGGTGTATCCAGATCATCGTCACGCTTGTTTATTTAGAGAATGAATTATTTAATGGACTATACCTTTATTGAAATTAACCAGATTTCACGATGAACTAAGCATGATCCGAACCTAGTGCAATACGGTCGTTACCATTCACTAAGTGCCATTTTACCGATATTAGTAGCCCTGGGGGTCAATATTGTATACGTTCCTTTTGCCGCCGCGTCCGTCGTAAGTTATTCCCTGTTCGTGCGCTTGATCAGCGACTGCGGTTGATTGTACAGTATGCAACGTTTGCTGCCTACGAAGCTTGCCATAGGCTCTAGTTAGCACGTACTTTACTGGTTTAAGTTCTGAAAAGCATTACCCTTTTGCTAACATTTCAAAAGTTGTCAACGGCCGTTGTCCGTAATACTGTCGCAGACAATCATGTCTGTATAACACGCATAGTGGATCTACGGCGATCAATAGAAGAAAAGTAAGGCTAATTCAATATAGTGGGCTGAGTTTACTTGTGATTCGTGACCTATGTCAGAGTCAACAATTCAATGGGGTTGCTCGGAGTGTTTACATTTCCTGCCGTTTTGAGAACGGCAAAAATAACAGCACGGATTGAGAAGCGGAGCTGTTAACTGCGGCTGTGATTGCTTATGTCCTTTTTAGTTTTGGCAGAGTAAAACAAAAACAGACTTCACAGTTGTTTGTTATTTTTGGATAACAAAAATATATTTTCAAAAAAAAAATTTGCCTGGCTAATAAGTTTTTGTAGTTGATACATTTTGTGCCGAGTACGGGTCAACTTAGCTGTAATCTTTACCAAGCTTCTGTCTAAAAGAAACGTCATGAGGGTTCGGGTGCAAGTCTAATAATACAAGTACAATTATATATAATCAAACATTTTAGCGCGAAAACAGATTAGCTATGATACCCCTAAATATAGCGACAGCGTTCGTTTAAAAAAGTTCTGGTGGCAACTCGTATTAAAGTACGTCTCCGAAGAGGCCTCTCCAGCGCAAGTTTTTCTAAACTAGATATGTTTTCGCTTTATTCGCTCCAATAGGCGTTTATTACGCAACAATAACATTCGAGTCCCAACTTTCTTAGCATACACCCAAAAGGCGATCCTAAAAATCAAACACACAAAAATAACGTTTTTAGACCACTAAATTTGGAGAATTAGGAACATGAGAAAAGAATGATTTTTGTTAGGTCCGACTGTGACCAAATAAAGTGACTCAGAGCTCTATATTACCAGTTTCTCCATTTACCCTCCTAACCCCCGTGGGAAGTGGCTCGTTCATTGAGTCACAGCCGGCTCCCGACCTCGGATTGCATTGGCGAAGGAGGGATTCACACTTTTTCATCATTTCTCACCCGCCGAGCATACGGCAGACTTTTTTTTACTAGACGTAACATAAATTCAAACAGACAAATTATGAGGTAAGTTGTTGCTGTTTACGATACTTCCGCGGTCGTTTTTTATGCTTTCTGAAAAGAGTTTCTTAATTCTCTTTAAGAACATGCTCAGATAGACTTTGGCAGTATAAACGACAGACACGATCATTATACGAAAATTAATTACATAATATTCCAGTGATTTCTGTTGCTCTTTTTACTCTTATTGTCCAATTATTTGATCCATTGGATTGTAGAGAATAATAATCGAGCTACATTGAAAAGATGCAATGTTTCGATCTTGATTTGGTACAATCGAAGAAAATCGTTTTGGACAAACTGCTCGTACGAAATGGGAAAAATTTAGCCAAAGTATTCGGTTCGGCTGGGCTAGTTATTGACCGATATACCTGGACATATTTTTTTGGCTGTTTAACAACTCAAAGTTGATTTCGCTGCCTGGCATAAAGTCATTTTTGAATTTTCATAGATTGCGACATCATTTAATATATCAAGGACGCTTTCACAAAGTATGTTGCTTCGGGTATGCACCTGTATGTAAATCCGTCGTTTCTGCTGTTACATCGGAAAATACTCATCTCAGCCGTTGACGCTCGCTCCTATTTTTATCCTTCGCCATCCCACGGAAATTACATAGACTTCGCGAAGGCAATAGACGGCGGCCTATTTTAAAAGTCCAAAAAGCATTAACTTATCTACCGACTCCATTCACTCGGCCGGTTTCGGCTGTTCCAGCTTTGGACGTTGGTGAAATCGAGGGGTTGATGATTACTCGCGCGAACACCTTGTCTTTGGAGTGTCGCGAAGTTTTTTTTAAGTGAACCCACTCATACATAGACTATATCTTTAGGGCAAATCTTAGTTGAAAATCTAGGCTATGACACGAACCTTAAACCGTTACTAAGATAAACTCCGTCAGTTGGTCAATTGAATTGCAGTATCAATAGCTGTTTCCTTACGCGCACGCCTAAAGGAATGATGATTCCTTTACGCAATTTGTCTAAATCAGATACTACCGCTATATAATTGTTGTTTCGCAATCGACGAGCCATTTTCACGTGTGTTGCTGTTACGGTGTCAAGGAATAGGCTCAGTTAGTCTGGGCGAGAGTTTTCGGTGTAGACGTTAAGGTGAGCTGCTTCGTCCGTTCCCATTCCACTTTGCCACACCCTATGAACCTTAGAGCTGGCAAACACATCTTGATGATAAACCTTTTTGCTTCTTGCTTTGAACCTATATGCATGTTGATATCCAATATGTGAGTAAATGGCATGACAATATTCCTGACCGTTTTCCAATTCGTAGCTTCTGTTTCATGTTAATTCTAAATCTATTTCCAACGACGAAAAAAAGAAGACGCTCGTGCATAAATTTAGTATATCTATATATATATATATATATATAGTATAGCCCTCTACATTTGCACAATACTTCGAGTAACGTTCCCTGAGAGAGGCCTAAAGCAAACATTTGTAATGATAAATACATAGATACCACTTGATTAACAATATTGTGAACAGTTATCACCTTGTGTGTACCCCGCTAGGTTCATAGGTTTCTCTCATTATGTGTTGTTTCGCTCGTTCGCTCGAGCATATCAATCAGCCGAATCCAAATTTCATACCGGACTTCCTAACCGTGTATGCCTGAATCGTAATGGTCACCGGTTTTGACCTTTTTCTTTGAGGGCAGTGTTCGTAACACGTATTGGCCGCTTTCGTTGCCTCTGATATCCTGCTACTGCCTGGCTTCTCCTCGGTGCGCCTTAAGGATTCGCTGCTTTTAGCATAAATGTCTGTTCTTTGTTAGCCGTTTAGCAGGCTTTGGGTATGTGAGAATTGACTGCGGTAGCAGATGGCACCTCAATAGAAACACCATCATTTGGCATAGTCATACTGGAGTTCCTTCGTTTCTTTTTGTGCGCAACTTTGTAATTACCTCATAGGCTACTAGGCTATTTACGTGGAACGTGTCTTACACGACAGTTTGATTTGACTGGTAGAAAAAAAGCGGTTGATTAATGCGATCACAAAAATGAACCGTGAGATATTCCGACACATATATATATAAAATACCCGTGGATACACCTGGCCAATGTTGACATTTTTGATTGAAAAAACACACGTATAGGTCCATTTAGTTTTAGCTTTGTCTGGAAAACATCTTTTTCCCGTACCCGTTATATGGTCACTAGCTCTATATTGACTTCTGTAAACGCATTAACAGGCTATTCGTTTTAAGGGAGTGCGCTGGCGTACTATATGAGATCACTATATACTAAAATTGTGTGTGTACCCATTGGTCAGCTTAATTCAAGTTCTGGCAATGCCATACAATACATGAAAAGTATGATGAAATAAAGTACCTGCGTCTGACGCACTAGTCTTCATCCGTAATCCCCTCGATATTATAAGAAATCGCCCGTCGTTTTTGCCATGGATGACTAAGCCGCGATGCATTCGTACCTGGTTTGAGTAAACATATTAACGACACTAGATAGCATTATAAAGAACAGACATCATTAGAATCAACGTCCTGGTTGCGCTTAACGTAACAACCGTTTTTTTTTTTTGTTTTTTTTTTTTACCAAAATGTGGCAAAAAAACCATCGTTCTGTATTTCGCTACATTTGTGCAGTCGGTTACTCGTTAGGTTAGTCGTGAGTTTTTCGGCATCGTTATCCTGATTCGTTTTCTACGGATCTAGCGATGCGTAAAAAGATCGATAAGTGAAGGCGCTCAAGCGATCGTAGAAAGTATTGGTAACTACCGAAGATGGAACGCTACAGGGTAAGCAGCAAGATGGCTAGTGACCAACGGCCTTTTTGACTGATGCTGACATCGGCGGGTCATAGTCAGGTACCCCCGGAGTATGAGCGAAAAGAACAGATGTCGAAGTACAGGTATTTGAAGCAAACACATAGCTACGATGAACGTATGCTTGAAAAAACGTATTTATTTAAGAATAGCTAGATGTGTTGCTGTTACTTGACACGTACAATCTATTTACTAAATTAACGTAACGAAGTAAGTTAACGAAGAGAATAATCAGGCTACATTGATAAACTTTACCGTGTACATAACAGTTTCGCATAGAGCTCTCATGTGCTACTCTCATGCGAAAATCGAGTCTGTAGCATGCAGACGTCGGAGTCCCCCAGCACATCACGTTCTAGAAGTCCATTTTAGACACATCTTAGGGGCCAGGATACCATGCGATGAGCGTGAGTATTTAGTGCCATTTCATAACAGTCCTTTACTCTTAAAAACATATTATGAACATTACAATGCGACTATTTTTACTTCACTTGATCTTTTCCCAATGTGTTGAGCCTCTACGAAATCGGGGCTTTCCCATGCTGCTGTTCGAAGTCAAGACGTCCTATTTCTATAAACAATTGGTCATGTTCTTTGAATCGTTCAGAATTATGTCTGACTCATTCTCGTCTTCGTTGTGATTCAATTTTTGTTTTAGAGCAATCCCCCACTTGAACTTCAGATCACGATTTAATCTCACAAGTGATATTTCGTTAGATCCGTTCAATTTCTAAGCTAACGAAGTTGCCTAATTTTATAGTTTCAGGTCGAGACAATTTTCAGATGAAGCATACTCAGACTTTTTAGTCATTCTGAATCATGCATTGACTTGTAGTTTCCTTTATTCTGATTCCCATCTTATACTGCGCCTTCTTTTCTAGAACTTTGAATTGTGCCATTGCTGGCCTAACGTTAGCGCGAATCATGAATGCACTCATAATAATATCAGCAAGAATAGTCATCATTGTCATTGTCTCTTTATATAACATGTCAGTTCTGGGTATCTCTGGTCATCTAGTATTTCGAACAGACGAAATGTTCCCCCACAACTTGTTTACCTCCAGTAGGCAGCTTAGCGTGAAAAACAGCTCGCGGCAGATGATTTACATACATAATTGTACTGCTAAACAAATAAATTCGAATCCACTAATAGCGAAAAAAATCAAGAAGTGATGGGTTGTCAGGACAACATTTGCGAAACATTAACGGCCGCTGTCTAGGCGCACCGCCGCAGCTTGACCCTACCCGTACAACTCGACGAGCCATACCATCAAACGCAATAAGCTTCATCTTATTGCCCTTTTATTAACAAATTGTTGTTGTTACTGCACAGATACCGTCTGCATATACATTCGCAGAAACAGCGGTCGACGGTCCAATAGCGATCGTAAGCTCTGTGTGATAAAGCGGAAATCCCTCCTGTGAAACGACCTATCGGCCAATGTTGACATCCTGAAACATGTCTAAAACACTCGCGATTGTCCTCTTTGGACACTGCCGATAATATCTCATGGGTCGCCGCTAGAAATAGAATCTGCAGAGATTTATTTATCGTTAGCCAATTTACAAGTCACTTCCGCTGATTATTACCAATAAATTTACAGCAGGACATCCTATATGCTCTGTTTTACGTCCGGTATCGTTATTAGGCATCGTTCCATCAAATAGACGGCTGGCTGGCTGGGTGGATACTAGCATGAAATTAAATCTGTCCATGTTCCGAGGGTTCGAATTTAGACCACAACGTGTTTCTAAGATCAGAAGACGAATACGTTATCCGTTAAGCTATCACGAGGCCAAGCTCAGTTTTTTTTTCGAGTTACCTTCCTAGTTGATCAAAACCTGCCATAGCTTGTTTTCAACAGTTCGGATTTCCTTTTGCTCATCCGCCTTTTGCGTTTTGCGTCAGTGATAGTGATCATCTTATGCTAGAATGAATGGCTTTCAAGAAAAAAAATACCGCCGAAAGCTGGAAGGTATGGGAAGAATTAGTTGATCAGGCGATGTCTCTGCCTTTCGTCAATCTTTATCCTAGCTGCCTCGCCATTGCCGACGTTTCTACTCCTATCAGCCAAAGAGAGACCTCACTAAAGTAGACCACCTTTAGACACAGTGTTACGTCCGCCTCCAGCCCTTCCTTTGCTTTGATCCTTCTGTCCTCGAAATACAGGCCCTATATATATATATATATATATATATATGTATCTGCGTATAGACATTACGGCTATACAAATGAATATCAATTAGACATCTACAATATGCTGGTTCCGCTTTTCTTTTTGGACTTACATGGTTTCTGGTTTAGTATTCAAATTAAAAATGGCACAGCGTATTTTTATTGAAGTTAGTTTTAGTCTGCTTTTATAGAGTGACCGTCAAAACACCCTTTCTCCTTATGCGTCCAGTACTGTTCGATAGATAGTTGGGACTATGCCGAGCATTCAGTAACAGATCGGCGGTCTACCGCTGGGAAACGGACTGGGCTCAAGAGGCCCACAAGGAGATAAACTAGACCTCGCTCGAGTTTCTTCACCGTTACCCCGACGTCTCACGACAGTTGTAGCCAAACAGTTAATAAATATCTCAAAGACTACTTGTCATTTCACAGCAGAGCTATAAATCGTCATCATATAAGTAAACGATATTAACAACCGGCATAGTCACGTTGGTTTCTTAATAGAAGGGCTGTCGCGGAACGCAGCTTCTGCGAAAATCTCTGGCCTATAGCGAACAATCCTTTAACTAAGCAGATCATATTGTTATATTGATATCGCCCATTCGTTGTGCAGTACTAATTGGATATCTTTTTGAAACTGACCAAGGATTAGCAAAATGATGAATGACATTGCGCTAGAGCCGTCAACGATTGCTACAGAAACCAACAGAAGTTTATCCATGTTTAGAAATATTGTTGT